TCTGGTAGCTTGACATAGTTTAACTAAGTATTCTTGCTAATTAGATGCTAGGTTCCATTATTTCTAAACTGATGAGGAATATATAGATGCTATCAGCACCATCTAGGTTTCAGGACCCTGATAAAAAAAAAATTCTCTCTACCCTGAATATATATCTCAACAGGGGACTAAGATTCCCCATGATTCTTATCTTTGTGTCTAGAAGTTTCTGCTTCTCTTGAATTAAAGCATCCCCTCTCTAATGAGGCTTTCACACTTGCCTGGTGATAGGGCATCAGTGACAAGCTTTTTTAAGTTTACAGCTAAGGTGTCAAAATCCCTGAGACTATAGAAAAAACAAGAATACTTTTATTGCTACCCACCCATCTCTTTTAAGAAGAACACATAGTATTTGGATGAATTTTGTTTTGCCAGGGCTTCAGGGGTAAGCTTTTACTATTTTCATTTCCCGCCATGTAAATGTAGTCTGATACTTAAATAACATTGATAAAAGTGGGGGGGGGGGGAGCAAGAGAGAGAGAGAGGGAGAGAGGAAGAGGGAGAGAGAGAGAGAAAGGGAGAGAGGAAAGGAGGAGGGAGGAAGAGGAAGAAGAATAATGTTGTTGGGGTACTGATAGTCAATAAATCAACAAGTGTTTATGGAATATTCACAGAGCATATAGTCAGAAGAAACTGTAGCTTTGTGTAATACATGTGGAATTCCCACTCGATTTAGGCACTGTTGGCATTCCAGCATTTTATAGAATACTGAATAGACGAAAAGCCTTGTCTCCAAATAGCTTTCTAACTAAAATATCAAGATGATCTTTTACTATTTATGCAGGGGTCCAAAATGAGTTAGGCTGCAGGCAGTTCATTTCAAAAAGGTGTGACCCCTCATTCACAGTAGCTTACACTCTGAGGCTATGTTCTTTGAAGATCCATGTTCAGACTGAGCCTGGGCCAGATTCCCAAAAAGACTAGTCTGGCAGCTAAAGAAGGGACATGATGAGCACACAGTTTAGATTAAAATTGGAACTCCCTCAAGCATCAGAGTACTTAGTCAAACAACTCACAAAACCAGTAAAATATTTCTTGAAACCAAAACACAGAAAGCAAACAAACCATCCAAGAGAGAATGTGCGTAAATTGTAGCAGAAGGAATTTAAGCTACATGTAAAGAAGTGTTCCCTGGCGGTCAAGATTGTTGGTTCTGGAAACTGCTTTCCCAGAGATCGGTTAGCAGTTAAAAAGAGACTTTAAATCCTTAAGAGTTATCTTGGTATTGTGGAAAGAGCGCTGGTCTTAGAGGCAGACATTTCTGGGTCTGAGACTTGGCTTTGATACTTACCAGCTTTATAACTCCAGGCAAGTAGTCATTTAATCTCTATAAGCCTCAGTTTCCTTATCTGCAACAGGCAGATAATATTTGCAGTACAATACCCCAGGGTTGTTGTGAGCAAAGTGATTTGTAAACCCTAAAAGTCCTGGATAAATGTGAGCTAGCATTATTTAGGAAAGCTTTAGAAGTAATTCTGGCTAAAGAATTTTTCTACCACGAGTCCATCATTGTGGTCATCAATAAAAATTTTATTGAGAGTCTTCAAGGTTCAGGGCACAAACCTGGGTACTATTCAAGTTGCAAAAAATGTTACACATCTTTTTAGTTTCATAGGAATTTGTAACTCTGTGTCAACATGACACAGAAATAATTGACTCATGCTGTTATTTCACTCAATTAAAAAAAAAAAGATTGGTCAAACCAATTCTTTGGCATCTTATATACAAAGCAATCATCTGATTGCATTTTTTTTCACTTTTCAATTTATAATTTAATTGTTGGGTACACATACTTTAAAGTACCCTGTCCTGAAGGGCTTTTTTTTTAATCTTCTTGATTCTGTAGCTAGGAATCCCTTGTGGCTTAGTGAATTTCTTTTTGTTTCTCACTGTATAAAGACTAAGGTTACTGTTGTCCTCATCAGCTAACTGGGTCATGCCAGTCATCCTCCAGGACAGCCTCCCTGCTGGACTTGAACCTGCTCAGTTCATGTAATGGTGACAATGATAATAGTACTTGGTATTTCAATTGCATTCTATTCAGGTGAATTATGAAAAAGGTCCCTCAAATTTCTTTCTTCTTTTTTAATATATTTTTTTTAAAGCAAGCCAGTTTGTCCATGTAGATAAACTTCCTAACTTGAGGAATTAATTTTTGGCAACATATATTTCACATTTTAGATTCTGCCCACCTGGCATCAAATGGTGCTATTACTATGAGATAGTGGCAATAAAAGTAAGGAAATATATTGACTGCCTAATGCATGTCTTGCTGAAAACTTAAAGTATAGTTTTTTAAATCTAGTAAGTCACCCTGGGAGTGGCAGTATCTTACTGAATATACAAAGCATGAATGTACTAATAACTAGCACCATATGTTCTTTTTTTTTTAACTTAAAGCAGTTTGAATGCACTAGTCAATGATCAAAGCCAATATTCATTATCCAGAACCAGTTGAGGTGCTCCTTATTCATCTTGATTTGCCAGTTTTCAGCAACTACATTTCCAAAGTGTGGAAGAGAGACATGCCTCTTCCCTCCGTATCCCTTGAAACTGGGAAGCATTTTTGCCATGTGGCTTTTTCATTGTGGTGGGGACTACTGGCAGAACTCTTAACATGGATTCCAGATGTTCCTGCAGAGTGTAACAATTCTTTTATGACTCCAGCAATAGTAGCCATTTCTATTTAGCTAACAGGGAAGATCGATTTTTAGGTCAGGAGAGAAGAAAGATATATTATAGTCCTTTTATCCTCAAACTTCCCTTACCCTCTGTCTAGAAATTCTGGATTCCTCACTCACCACCAGACACAAATGATGGCCTGGAAATGAAATCATAGCAGCTAGGGAAAAGCATAAATGTACAGATGTTTTCTGATGTTAAAGAAGCTTGTCAGGCACCAGGTATTGACAGTTGCATTTTTGGGAAAGAATCAGAACCATGAAGGCACTCTCAAATGCTGGTTTCCCTTAACCCTTGCGTTAGAAAATTCATCTCTGTTTTCAAATTCTCTATAAGCTGTTTTCTTCCCTTGTCCTTTTGAGAAAAACAAGACTCTGTTGCTTTAATAACATTCTGATCTGAGATTTATGAATGACTGTTTTTATCTGTTTGGTGGGTCACCATGGCCCAAGAATCCATCTCTACTAAGTCAGCTTTCTGGTGATGAGTCTCTCCATGCATAGCTAGGCTGGCTGGTACTGAGAGAGTAGATTGTACCCTATTCTCTTTGTCTGCATGACCCTACTCAGAGCTTTTCCAGTCTGTAATTCATTGATACTGCCTTCAGAAGTCCAGAGGCACCTCTGTGATGCAGTGAAGGGTGCAGCAGAGATTTGTGGAAATGATAGGTGTCTGTCCTGGTGAAAAATGTCTGCTTCAAAAAGCAAGCTAAAAAAGAGGCCTTTACTTAAAGCAGAGATAGGAAAACAATACACACGCTGACAACAACAATGTAAATGAAAAAGAACAACCACCACAAAAGAATCAAAACTGGATGTTATTAAATTATAAAGAAAAAAATTGGCCCCAAAGATGAGAAATGAGAACACACCTTCCACTACTCCTCTGTAGAGGTTGGGGTCCACAGGTGTGGAACTCTGCATTTGACATTAGACTTTTTTTGATTCATTCACATATTTAAATGAATTTTTTTAACTTCCTCCTTTTCTTTCCCTTTACAAATTCTTTCTAATAAGGGATAGGACTCTGGGAACAGGGAAGAGAAGAGATTAAAAAGGGAAATTTGGGCAATCTATAGAACCAAAAGCTAACAACAAAAATTATTTTTTAAAAGTTTTTTATTTAGTCCAATATGTCATGCACTTTGAACCATAATGTGGATAATTTCCAATTAGCTGGCTATTTATTAACATACAATCCCATACCAGCAACAAGCCACAAGTAAATAGCAAACAGGAGTTTTGCTGACCAAATGACTCTGTGTGTTCCAGGAACTATTGTTTTCTCAGTTTTTAAACTAGTTTTCAAATACACACATTCATTTCTTATTCAATTCAATTAATAAAGGACCTTGAAGATGTCAAATATTTTGTGAGTGCTGAGTGGGTTTTTTTGGCAGGAAAAAAATCTTTGCTTGGGTGTATGTTATTTGAATTTTTATGGTTAATTACCTTTGGAAAGAGTAAATTTTTCCTGTTGTCTTTGAGTACATGATTATGCTGTGGCAAATTTGAGTGTGAATGTGAACATCAAGTATGAATTTTAAAATGCTATTCCTGTAAACTGCTGCATTGGGGTTGAATTTTAAAGGTCTGGAATCTAAAAATGTGCATGCAGTAGGCCTCAGTGCTTCAATAAGGATGCAAAAGAAGCTCATTGTTTGTAGTGGGGACCCTGCTTGTGTGAGGACAGCAGCATCAGACTGAGTGTAGGCAGGAAGATGGGAGGAGACAGGGCTATATAACATGGGTTGGCCCCAGCTTCGAAGAAAACTCAGACATAAAGCAGAGTAAAGAACACGCCAGTTTTTCTAACCACTTTGTTTTTCCTAATCCCTGCTGTGTCTCTGCTTCTCCTTAGCGACAATAATGAAGTAATCAGCAATCATTTCTACACTTTTGGGGGGACATTTCAAGCATTGTTTTTCTCTTCCAGACTTTGAAATGCACCTGAAAAGTCATCCCCCGTGCATCAGCACAACAGAAACGGGCAATTAAAAAAAAAAGTTTCTTCCCTACTAAAATTGACACACATGTAACCAGTGCCCGAATATTAGAGGCATAGACTTCCTGGCCCAGTTTTTTTTTTTTTTTTGTCAAGACGGATTCTACTAACCCTGATTTTTTTTTTTCTTAAGTCCCAATTCCAGATTGTAGGTATGCACATAGCTATGACTGGAGAGCCTTAACAAAAAAAGAACTCGGAGCCGGGTGATGTTTTTGTGTTTGTTTATGTTGTTCTCTTTTCCTCCTCGGTGGGGTTGTCCGTGGGGCTGGCAGCGCGGTGGTTCAGCAGCAGGCCAATAGCGGACCCTCCGGCCCCTCCAGCAAGGGGTCGAGCAGCGGCAGCTCCAGCAGCAGCAGCAGCAGCTCCAGCGACTCGGAAAGCAGCTCCGGCTCGGACTCGGAGAGCGAAAGCAGCTCCAGTGGGAGTGAAGGCAGCAAGCCTTCTCACTACTCCAGCCCAGAGGTAAGGCCTCCCCCCAGTCTTCCCACAGCTCCCGGCTGGTCCCCTCCCTCTGCTTTGGTTCTCCTCTCACCTAAGTGTTTCCATAAGGCCAGACCCTGTCTCTTTCCTCCCCAAGTCGTCCCAGACCCTCCATCCAGGCTTGGCCCTAATGAAAGGAGCTATCCTAGGCCAAATCCCCTCATTAGGAAAAGGACTTTATTTCTCAGTTAGGCAAGCATTGTTTTCAATCACTTTCCCTACTCTTCCCCCATCCCCACTGTTGTCCTGAGGAAAGGGCCTGCATTTGAAGCATGAGGACTGTTGCTCTTTGTCCCTGGGATATCCATCCTGGCTTTCTCTTGTTGCCAGGTATTCAGGGAACCCAGCAGATGAAGGATAACCTATGGATCGAGTCACACTAGGGGTCAACTGAGGCAATAACTAGATAGGAAAGCTCATGGCCTGATAAGTGTGACCATATATAAATCACAGAGAAAGGGGGTTTTATGGATTAGACATGGCTATGGCCTCACCTTTTTGCAGTTTGTCACGGGTTAGGAAGACAGAGACAGCTATAAATATTAACAAAAAAACAAAAAACAAAATAAAACCCCACATTTTCTTAGTTGTGTTTTCTTTGTGAAGATATAAAAAGAAAAATTAGCATCAACCTACAAATAATAATAAAACCTTTTATTGCCATGATGAGTATCTTTGGAGAAGATCTAGGTGCCTCATATAATGACATTATAAAGCTCCAATAAAAATCATTGCAATTCCTATGTTAAAGTGGAAAGAGAAAAACCAACTAGTAATTCAGTGTGAATATTATTGGGGGAGGGCTGAGAACAAATTTCTAGAGTCATGGGACTCTGCAGATAGACTTTGATGTCTAAAGAAGCAATAAAAAGCGAAACTCTACCTTAGTGTAGAAACATGAAATTTGTATGAGTTACATAGTTTCATTTCTAAGATTTTTTTTTTTAACTCCAAAGCTACCTACACCACTTTGGGGATCAAATTTCTAAATAGGCCCATGAAATTGGACCAACAATTGATAACTATGTTAATGTGGTTGAAGTTCTAACCACCTACTATGTAACACTTAGTTAGCTTAGAGGCCATCTAGTGCAACCCCTCACTTACACAAGAGGAAACTGAGACTTGGAGATGTTAAGAGACTTGATTACGGTCACACAGGTAGTATCAGAAGGAGAACTTGAACACAGGACTTCAGACTCCAAAGTCAATACTCTTTTTACTGTGCCACCCTAACCTCACCCACCCACCCCCGTCTCATTTTATGCCCACTTTTATAGTCACAGTTGCCAGGTAAGCTTAGTTAAAATGTGTCTATTTGATGTGTCATTTAAAAGTGGTTTTAGCATTTAGAGAACATTAGAAGCACTCCTTAAGCTCTTTTAGGTGTTCTGGGAGCACCTCTGGGAGCTGCTACTAGGGGATTAGTGGTGTCTTAGGGTAGTATAGGCACTACAATTAGATTTACTAAAGTCATGGATAATTGAGAAAAAATAAGGATTCCCCTCCACTTAGTGCACTTGACTTTGCTTTTCCTAAAGTAAGACTATTACTGTTTATTGAGATATGGCAAGGAAAGTAAATCTTAGAGGAAAGATCTTTGAAACAGATACATCATCTGTTGTTCCTCATTTCTCAGCTCCTTCTATTAACATTGGCTTTTTAGATAATCTCTTACATAAGTGGTTACTCAGGCCATTTTCACTGCTTCTAGCTGGCCCCTTCTTTTCCAGCTATCTTCAGCTCCTCCTTAGATGACATGTTCTCAAGTGGCTCTTCATTTCTTTAGACATGAGCACCTTTCCAATAGTCTGGTTCTGAGCTGTGATAGAAAGAGCAATGGCTATGGAATCAGAGGACTTGTACTGCCTCTCCTGCTTATTTCCTGCGTGACTTTGGAGCAAAACCTTTAGCCTCTCCCAGTTTTTTCATCTGTATAATAAGAAGACTGGACTCTAGGTGATGATCTTTAAGCCATCCAGCTCTAAGTGACTCTAGGAAGATAAAAGATAAAACATGGTCCTTGACCTTGAGCAGCCTATAACCTCATGGATTTAGGGGTGGGGGCAGAAATACACAAACAATGATGTTATAAATGATGCTATCCATACCCTAAGAGAAGTATAAACAAGGTTCTATATGGGGTCTAAAAGAGGGAGAAATTAGATACAGTTGAGGAAATTAGGGATGCTTTCATAAAGGTGATGGCATTTGAGAGGGGCCTTGAAGGCATGTAATATCACTCCCCAGCTGTTTTTAATTCCTCACTCAGGGCCACTCCAGTCACCTAAAGAATGAGAAAAACCCTACATGTTAAAGGAGCTATATACCATTATTATTCCTGCACAATCTGAAATAAAACAAAAACACACAAGGGGAGTTAACGGAGTTCTTCACAGCCTGCTTACAGGGAATAGAACAGACAGCAGGCCTCCAAAGATTAAACAGAAATGTTTTATGTCATAATTTTAGAGGAAAAAAACCAAAGTTTAGTGATAAGAAATGGGTCCATGTCCTGGTAAAAAAAAAAAGTATTAGACACTTTGTGAAATGCATAATGTCCAGGACCTTTCAGTTTTCTGATAAAATTTTAATCTCATACCTCCTGAAATTAGACTGAAAACTTAGCTAAGAAGAGCACAGTTACCATTCTCTTTAAAGTATGTTCTTTCCAAATGTCATTGAGGTAATTACAAAGATTTCAGCTCTCTTGTACATTTCCTCCAGCAACGATGTGGGGTCAATTAACAGAGCATGATTCAAAGAAGCTCCTGACTAAGGAGCTGGATTACAAGTCTCTTTAAAAAAAGATCCCCAAGAGTTAAAGGTACCTGAAGCCAGTTTCCTTTCCTAATAATTTACTCACCTATGAGTAAAAATCTAAGAGTATAAAATTCAGGAACAGCAACATATTAATAATACTCTATCATTTTATAATCTCATTTCTAGTAAATAATGTATAGGTTTGACTAAAAATAAACATTTCTTCTTAGCACACTAGCCTACCCCACCTAAAAAAAAATAATAAATGTACTCTTCCTGTACAGGTGGAATCAATTTATACAAGTTTTTCCCACAAGGAAAAAAAAATGTGGGTGTATTTATTCATTTATATGTCCAAAAGTTATGCTCGTAGACCCAGGGCTGGAAAGAAACTTGGAGGTCATCTAGTCTAGCCACCTGATTTTGTAGATGAAGAAACTGAAGCCCAAGGAAGTTTAATAAGTTTTCACTCAATCAACCAAGCATTTATTAAGTGGCTTCTATGAGAGTCATTGTGGTATAGCTGGCCGTGGAACAGAAAAAACTGAGTTCTTTGACAGAGACTGGCCATGTTGTCCTGAGCAAGTCACTGAACGCTCATTGTTATAGGCAACTCTCAGACTCTAAATTGCTCAGATGTTGATCTGTATTGATAGAATGATTTCACTCATCCAGGAGCTCCTTATCAAATGAAATCATAGGTCCAGTCCTTAAGGCAAGAACTATGCACATAAATTACCTAATTTGACCAAAGTCACACGAATAGTCCATGACAGAGCTGGGATTCAAACCCTGGTGTTCTTATCCCAAATCTAGTGCTCTTTTCATTACAAGATGTAGAGAACATCAGTTTGAGAAGAATTTAGTATTACCTTACAGTATACTCCCCAACAATGCTAAGTATGCATCTCCCTTCTTTACCATAAAGGATGTGATCATAATGTAATGAAACTTGTTTTCATGAAATCACTCTTTATAATCACTGTAGTTACTTCATAGTTTCACCATCAATTCTACTGTGGCTATACAGGTGTTCTGGGGATGAAGTTGCTCCAATTAATGTCAATCAATCAACCAAACACATATTAGGCAATTACTAAGTTCCTGGCATTGGGCTAGACACTGGAAATACAAGCATCATTAGTTATATTTAGCAAGATCCTACTGTAATAATAATAACAATTCCTTTCTACAGTGCTCTAAGTCATGAAACTGCATCAAAATATCATTTGCCCAATCGTCCATTCATAACATCTTATAGAATGTGGTTTCTATGTAACAAACTGCTCCCTAAAGTCATCTTGCCTAACCCTAAACCAGTTAATGGCACTAAACTGATTATACTTTAGAGATGCAAATCAAATCCCCATAACTAACTTAGATCCTAGGGTTGTGTCTTTTTGTACTGCTTTGAAATGTAATTGTTGAGGATGCCATTTCTATCACTGGTAACATCCCAAAGCACAAGAAAAAGAAAAGGATTCATACCCTGAGGTACCGGCATTTATCTCAGTTTACCTGTTTGGAAAAACCCTCTGGACTTGCCTCTTTTTTTTTATGAGTTATTTATAGCTTGAGTTGTTGAAAGCCATTTTATTTTACTGAAACCACCATAGCAAAATGATGTTATGTCCTTGAACTAACATGAAAGAGTCATTGAGCCTCATTTTTCCATAACTGGTGAGTCATCCCATCCGCTTAGTTGCTTCAAGACTCAGTTTTTGGAATTACCTTTAGCCTCCTTCCCATTATCTTATACATCCTCATGTAACTGCTCTCTAGAATATGAAAAAAAGATGTTTTTTCATTCCTATGCCATCTTTTTTTTTTTTTGGTACACACAAAGTTCTATATCACCGTATGATTCACTAGAGGGTCCCATATAAAAAGTAATAGGGATTCATTAAGTTTCCTCTACCTAAAAAGCATTAGGTACTATAGAAGCTATAATACGAGCAGGCAGCATTGCACTTGGTGAGTTTACAATCTCTTTGAGTGATGGCATAAATAGCTAGAGAACAAAACCAAGGCAACACAATAGTTAAGCACTTGGCATTTCAGGACTAGTTTAAATAAAGGTTAAGGTAACTCAAAGTTAGCTACAGAATCACTGTGGAAGACATGGAGTCAAGGGAAGATATCATCTAAGAGCTGACTCTTAAGTCGGAACTTAAAGAATCACAGAATTTGGATTAATAAGACTGAAGGTGGAATTCGTGCCAGGCTAGAAGAATAGATTAACTTGGTACAGGGCTAGTGAAAATGCCCTTAGCAGAGTGACTATGCAGGTCAAATCAATTCAATGCAAAGCTGTTTTGAGCAGTTAGCTAGAGGTTTTAGAAGATAGAAAAGGGGTAGAATATGTAGTACTACCCTTGAAAAGCTTCCAATCTTGATAGAAATGAAATAGAGAACACAAAAGATGACACAATAAGGTGCTAAATAGTTGTTTCTACCTACGTGCCAAGGTGATTGAAGGAGGCTGAGTGGTGTATTTCCCTAAAGTAAGATTACTATCAATTCCAATATATATCTGACATTCTCAAAGGACTAACATTGCCTAAATTGGAGTGCAATGAGAGAGAGAACAGTGTGGGGATAGTTGACGGAAGGTCTTGAATGCCAGCCTGAGAAATCTGAATTGTATTTGGTAGGCAATTTAGGGATCCCATTAGGTTCTTGAGCAAGAAATGGTGTGATGAAAATGGTGTATTGGGAAGATTTCTCTGCTAGTATTGTGTAGGATGAAGGAATCTAAATCAGTCAGTGGCCCTATAAGAAAATGATTAAATTCTACCCCACTTTCTATTCACTGTTTTACTGTTTCCTTAGGAATTTCTGCTTGTGACAGGGTTCTGGCTATAGCCCAGATGTATGTATGTGCTTTCTTTGCCTAATGATATGAGGGAGCAAAAGCACAGACTTTAAAGTAGAAATTGAAGAAGTGCCACTATTCAAAGTAGTGGGGCTAGCCACTGCAAATCCTGTTCATTGTCAAAAATTACTGTGGTCCCAAACTTTTTTTTAAAACTTTTCATGGCACTCTTTATATGTTCCAGCATTTTTATTTTAAAGGCAGAAAACTTCATGCCTAAAATGGCCAGTGATTTGCCAAAGTGAAAAAAAAGTGGTAAGGCCAGTTTTAGATTTCACAAAAATATTAAGTCCTACTAAATTAGCTTTCAGCTAACTTCTGTTTATTGAGGAGCTTCTAGAGGCAACTGCTTTGCAAACCATTGCATACTGCATTTCATTCATTTTGATTACTCACCATTGCTTTATATACTTTGGTAGGCAGCTGGGTAGTGCAGTGGATAGAACACAAAGTCTGGAGTCAAGGAAGAGTTTGAATCCAGTCTCAGTTACTTCCTCAGCGTGGGACCCTGGGTAAGGCACTTAACCTATCTGATCAGTTGCCTTATCTGCAAAATGGTGATCATAATAGTCTCTAATAGAACATAATAACACCTTCCCAGGATTGTTGAGAGGATCAAATGAGATTATATTTATAAAGCGCTTTGTAAATATTAAAGTGCTATATTAACTTTTGGCTTTATCATTATTATTACATTAATAAAGGGCAAATCTTGGTAGAATTCACTTGACCATTTCTCTTTTGGGGCATTTTCTTTTAATCTGGAGAAGTGAAAATATTTCACATACATTCTTTCACAGAAAGACTGACTGGAATAGCAATATGTGTCAATGCCCTTATTTTCTGTGATGATGATGGATGTTAGAGGGCTCTAACCCCACTAGAAATGACTATTTCCTACCTAAGTGTCCCTAGTTAGTACATACGTTCCCAGGAAGAATCTCTGTCACTGCTTCCACTGCCTTCATTGCTTTCTACAATATGGGAATTTAAAGGGATTGAAGATGGATTTCAGGCTGACAGAGCAAAGTACAAGCACCAGTCCCTTTTGAAACATACTGAATACAACCTTAGCAACCTAGTAATTTCTCTGAAGTTAATGCTTCTACTATGAGATGACTATACCCTGTCTTCCCAAATAAGCAGTCTTTTTTGCTACATGTACTTGGGGACGGCCCTTTCGCTTTGGTTCTTCACCTTTTACCAAATCTTTACTGCCATACACTTCAATTTAGAAAATATCTCTTTCTATTCCTCACACAATCTACTTCTCCCCAACTTAATACCATCACAACACATTAAGGAACTCATATCAACAGAGTCCTAAAATTAGGTTTGAGAATGGAAATGCCTTAGAACAGAGGCAGATTCTGGGATAGGTTAACCTTTTAATTCTCAAAAACTGACAAGGAGGGAGAAAAAAAATTACCCATCTTCCCCACCCCCATCTAGGTGTTCAAAGAGGACTATTAAAATATACATGAAGCAGAAATGTCTTTTATGACTTCATATGTATAATGAATACCCTATTTCTTGTCTTCCCAATGAGTAGGGGAGTGAGAGAATAATAAATAATTAAAATATAATATAAATAAATAAAATAAATAATAAATTATGATGTTTATGTTATAATGAAAAATAAATATATTTTTTTAAAATATCCATTAAGGAGCATATTAATAGTTCTTGAAGGAGATTAGGAAGAAGCAAGATGCCATTTCACTTTTTAGGACAGCAAGTCCATTTGAGCAGTCAAGTATGTGGCAATGTATAACATCATCCTCCCTTCTTTCTCCTGCTGAGTGATGATACACAAATCTTGCTCCCTATCTGCTTCAAACACTACTCATTACTCTTCCTTCACACACCCAGAGGAATCAGTCAAAAAATCCAAACCACCAGGCCCCCTCCTTAAGTTTCATAAAAGATGTTTTGTGGTGGGTTTTTTGTTTGTTTATTTGTTCTGATTTTTAGCCAGAACAAGCTTCTTCCAACAAGTGGCAGCTGGATAAATGGCTCAACAAAGTGAATCCCCATAAGCCTCCACTCCTGAACCAAAATGAGAGCCACGGGTCAGAGGGCAGCCAGTACTACAACCGGGGAAAGGATGAAGTGCAGGAGTGCGGAAAATTAAGCACCCTCTGCCAGACAGGCCTCAGAGAGAAGGAGATCAAGACCGCCTGCAAAGAGGAGCAGAGGCCTAGGACTGCTAACAAGGCCCCTGGGACTAAAGGGGTGAAGCAAAAATCGCCTCCCGCCACTGCGCCTGCGCCTCCCGCAGCCGCAGCCGCCCCCACAGCGCCCCCTGCCGCCCCGGCCGTTGTCCCCGCTGCTCTGAGCTCAGGGCCCGTGGGGGCCGCCCCAGTTGCTTCGGAGGGTGCAGGCGCGCCGCCCCCGCCCCGGAGGTCGGCCTGCAAGAAGCCCCAGAGGAGGACTACGACGACGACGACGACTACGACGACGACGACAACGACGACAACGGAGAGGGCCTCGGCAAGCGAGGGCGCCAGCTGCCACCGGCCTGCGGCCGAGGAGCTGGCGGCCAGCGAGGTGCTCGTGGAGAGCCCGGCCCCCGAGCCCCCCAAGCCCAGGCCGTGTGGCGGTGGCGCCAGGACGGGCCACCGAAAAGAGCTGCGCTCGTGCTCGGCCGCGGCGGCAGCGGCGGCTGCGGCCTGCGAGAAGCGCCGCACGCGGGGCCTGAGCAAGACGGCCCCCAAGTCCAAGGAGTTCATTGAAACTGAGTCGTCGTCCTCGTCTTCGTCCTCGTCGTCCTCGTCCGACTCGGAGCCGGAATCGGAGCAGGAGGACTGTCCGGGCCCCAAACCCACAGCGGGGGGCCCGGCGCCCTCGTCGGCCTCGGCGGGGGGCGACCAGCGGCTCCGGGAGGGCGGCCCCGGGAACGGAGGCAGCAACAACGGCAACAAGGCCGTGGGCTCCATCAACGCCAGGACCTCGAGCGACGCCGCCAAGGAGCTCGAGGAGCAGTTCTACACCCTGGTGCCCTTTGGCCGCAACGAGCTGCTCTCCCCGCTCAAGGACAGCGACGAGGTCAAGGCCCTCTGGGTCAAAATCGATCTGGCCCTCTTGTCCCGGATCCCAGAGCCCTCGCCCCCCCAGGAGGCCGCCCTGGCTGCCCCCGGGGCCAAAGAGACAGAGCCCGGCCTGCAGAATGCAGCCCCGGACCTGCCGCCCGCCGAGAAGGGATTGCCGAAGTCTAAGCGGAAACGCAAGGTAGGCTTCCCGGGCGTGGCCGCGACTGCCCCTCTAGGCCTGGTCAGCTTGTTTAAGGCCTACAAAGCAAGGGTTTGAGGACGGGGCAACCCTGGGTCACTAGTGGTCAGTTCAGCTCAGTCAGCATTTATTAAGTGCCAGGCTAAGCACTGGGGATGCAAAAAGAGGCAAAAGACTGTCTCTGCTCTCAAGGAGCTTACAACCCAATGGGGGAGACAACCTGCAAAGAAATATATTGTATATATTATTAGTAGTAATATATAATTATATATAATATACATAAATATTATATATAATGTAACATATGTTAATATTAGTGAGCTGTGTACAAGATAAATAGGAACTCATTAACAGAGGGAGGGCACTGGAAGGGGTTGGGGAAGGCTTCCTGTAGAAAAGTGAGATTTTAGTTGGGACTTAAGCCAGGGAGGTCATTATTTGGAAAGGAGGGAAAACCTTTCTGGGTATGGGTGAGAGCCAGAGAAATTTCCCAGAGTTACAAAGGGTCTTGAATGCCAAACAGTATTGCTTCTGGAGGCAGCAGGAAGCCACTGGAGTTGGGATGGGGAAGTAGTATGACATGATCAGAGCTTCACTTTAGGAAAATTGCTTTAGAGGCTGAATGAAGGATGGTTTGGAGTGGGAAGAGACTTGAGGCAAGCTGATCCCCTCCTAGGCTATTATTACCACAGTCCAGTTGTGAGTTAATGAGGCCGGCACCAGAGTAGTAGTGTCAGAGGAGAGAAGGGGGCCTGTTGGAGAAATGTTACAGAGATGAAATTGACAGGCCTTGGCAACAGGTTGGATGGGAAGGGGGGGGCAGGAGCAAGAGATAGCGAGGAATCCAGGATGACTTTCAGGTTGTAAGCCTGGGGTACTGAGAGGATAGTGTTAGCCTCTGAAATAATAGAAAAGGGGAAGAGAAGTAGGGTTTAGGGGAAAGGAGTTTAAGACACCTAAGCAGATCTAAAATGTCTCCTGCCCAGTAGACATCTTAAATTCAATATGATAGATGCATGCAATCAATAAATAATTATTTGGCCTCTGCTATATGCAGGACCCTGTGCTAGGGTAGACTCTTTGTAGAATACAGAGATGTATAAGGCTTAATAGGTATAATATTTGTCTACTGGAAGCTTGTACAAGTGTCCTTGGGAAAATGGCTTCCTGTAGAAGCCACAAAAGTAACTGGTAGCAGGCAGAAGGTAAGTGCTCTAAAAATGGGCAAGACCCAAAAAGTTCTACAGGTATTCTGGGGATAGAGAAAACATCTCTGGCTGGATGGTGATCTGGGAAAGTACACAGGTGAAGGGAGATTTGAACTAGGCCTTAGATGATAGGTAGAATTTTGATGCAGAGAAGGACAGTCCAGAAGGGAAAGGTGGAGGTAGGGATCCCCAAGAACAAAGGCAAAGCAGCAAGAAGGTTCAGGTGATGATAAGAAGCAAACTTGTTTGAGAATGATCAGAGGATTTCTCTAGGGATGAGGGGCAAATTGTGAAAGATACAGAATACCAGGCAATGGAATTTGGACTTTATGCTATAGGAAATGGGAATTGGAAATTTTGAGCAGAGGAGAGGCAAAAACCAAGAATTTTGAAGAGAGTTTATCAGCCCCCATACATGAGCTAACAATGGGAGAAACACCAGTAAAAATGCTGACGTCCTTTGGCAGCGATCAAAATTCAGGACAAGCTATTTAAATGATAACCATTTAAATTATTAATGAGAATTTAGCCTTCTTAGATTTTTATAGCATCTTATAGCTTTCAAAGCACTTTCACAAACATCTTTTGGAGGCCTAGGTAGTTGGACGTTAAGGGCATTAGATGGAGAATCAGGAATCCTAGGTTCTAGTTGTATATTGGACACTAGCTCACCATACTCAGCTACTTTTTGTTTTGGAAAAAGCATTTCTCATTATCTGACCCAATTTCTCCATTTGTAAAATGAGGATAAAACTCCAGAGATGATATATGTGAAAATGATTTGACAATAAGAATATAACATAAATGTAAGGAGTTACAATTAACATTCATTCTCCTGCTGTGAGAGCTTGACTTAGCCATTTCAGATTCACTGAGCCAAAGGAGAAGTAACAGCCATGGTTCAGTTTTTAGCCAAACATTGATGTGTACACTATCCCATCATTCAAATGCTGAGTGATTACTTCAGTAACTTCAACCAAGCTCTTCCAATAACCCCTTGAGAATCTATTGAATAATGCCTTACTGACCACTGTAGATGAGTTTATTGAGAGCAACTTGTCTCTTCCCCAATTCTAAGCAAAACTTATTTTTAAAACTCACCCCCCCACCCCAAATAGTGCTTATCTATCTCAGACTTGCAAAAACACCAAAAATTACCTTATAACACATCTTACAGTAGAGTGCAATTGGACCCTATGAGGTTTGATATGTAAAATATTTGCTTACTGAAATACTCCCCCCCACAATACTCTGTCATAATATGACCTCACAGTTCCTTGTGGCATGATGGATAATGTTATTATGAAATTCCACTGTATCATGTAGTAATCATCAGATTCATACATATTTTCTTTGGCCCTTAAATTTCCATTGGCCTTCTCATACTTTTACAATTGCTACTGGCTTCCATATTAATAGGCTAAGTGAACAGAAACCTCTACCTAAACTAGACATGCTCAGAGTTTCCTTCTGCAAACACAGATTCCCACATAAATAAAACAGAATGAAAATAAAAAAGACAGGACAGGACTTAACCCTTCTTTGGCCTGCTTCCTTAATATTCATTAGGCCATTACTAATTTCTTTTAGGCCCTGAGCACATGGGCCAGTGTTTATTTTCATGGCCTGTTTTCAGAAACATTGAAAGTCTCCAGGGAAGGAGATGCAGCAACCTCTGTAAGTGACCCAGTCCATTATCTCATAACTCTCCTAGAATCCTAGGATATACAGATGTATTCAGTGAACCTCGCAGGCCTCGCTGCATTGAAAAGACTTTAACTTTAGGTAACTATTGAGTACCATAAAGTTGTAACTCTCAGGAGTCCTCCATATCCTCCTCCTCCTCTCTCTCCATGCTCCACATCTTCAAATTCCATACCTTCTGAGGGCAAACCGAGGACAAGACTGAAAGAAAAGCTTTCTGACTAGGAGGGTGGTTTAACACTAAAAGTAAGGGAGGTTATTCGTGCTTCCCAGGATGTCTTTGAGGTCAGGCATTTCAAACTGCTTGAGAGAAGTCTTATCACAGGGGTGGCATGATTGGACAAAGAGACTTTTGAAGAAATAAATGAATGTGGGACTCCTTTCTGAGGAGCCCTTTCTAAGCTCCCTTTACCTTTACCAGAGATACTGGGGACACTTGAATAAATACTTATTGAATTCAATTGAAATAGGGAAGATGGAAGCAAAATTGGCTCCAGAGTGTGATGGGGGTGGGTAAATAGGTCCCCATTCCCCTGAAGTGAAAAGGCTTGCAGAGAATAAGATGCAGGTTGCATTTTACCACTAAACTAGGAAAAAAATACCAATACTCTTAATGTCCTAAGTCCAATACAGAGATTCCTTTAGGGAAGGAGTTCAAGTCACACTTCTTCTCCCCAGACTCCTAGAGGTGAGATGAGCACCATGAGTAACCATAGGACATATTGCTAGGAGACACTAGGAGTTCAGAAACATTTGGGGGCAGAGATGAAGTGGATGCTTGAGGAAACATAGGTTTACATGCTGTGCTTTTCTTCTTAATTTAAAGTACTTTTTTATTTGGTTAATTTATAAGATTACATGCAATGTATGGCTGATATAGAGTATTCCTTGTATGATCTAATGTAATAATCAATAAAATTGAGTACTGGAGAGATGAAGGAAACACTTTTCAGGGAGTCCTTTACTAGGCATTATGGAGCCATAAGACACTGAGCACATTATGAGTCCCTATAAAATGTTTGGGATTGGGAGAGTAGTAGGATGGGCTCCTAAAGATTCTGAGTCATACAGCACTGTAGCCATTGTGCCAGGTGGTGGCAATCAAGGAATCTATGAGTAGGTCCCCCTAGACTAATATTTTTGCCTGAGCAAACAGGGAACAACTGTGACAGGGGCCGTGGGAATACATTGACAGCTAGATAGATAGAAGTTAGAGACTCTGTCCTAAATGAGGTAGCCCAATCCCTGGTAAATAGTGGATGTGGGATAATTTCACTTCCCAGGTGATATGTACACTTGACCTGCAGCTGGCATAAGGCTGACAGTGCTGTAACACACAGCCAGACACTTTGCAGTAAATTCTGTTATGTGTTATCCTGATGTCACAGAGAAATGGAATTTTGTTTAGCACAACCTACATTGTACTCCAGTGACTCCATACCTTTCTAAAGGAAATAAGTGTCTTTTAAGCACAATTGTTGAACTACCCACCAAACCTGAAATCTTCCATTTCTCCAAACCCATCATTTCCGGATAGGTTAATATTCTTAAGGATCTCCAGCATAGTAACAGTTAACTGAATTTAAAGGACCGAAAACACTAACTACAGTTAGTCTTTGATTTAAATTCATAGAAGTAATAAGTTTCAGAAGAAAGTTCTCAAATTGTCAGTGACCTAACCCTCCTAAACCCAGAGGGCACACAGTTGTTCTGACATTGTCTGCTTCAGTCCCCAGATATGCCAGAGCAAGTTAGATTGACATTTCTATCTTAATTAAGAATTGGCCTTCTTTTGGAGGATTTAAATACTGGCCCAGGATGCTAGCAGAAAAGACATCCTCCTTCAAAACATTCTCTTTAGTACTTTGATCATGGAGTTGTCATTTTTCTCTTAATAAAACAGAATCTCATCTTAGTTGAGTGGAAGGTTACTGTGGAAATACACTAGTAGGGGCGAGTGTAACAAACAGGCTGCCTTAACGAACATGAATGAAGCAAGAGTATGGAGTAATTTAGGGGCTTCTTCACTGGGGTCTGCGACCATGAGTTATTTTCTGTTGTCTTTAAAAAAGATGATCCTTTTTAACTTTTATCTTCATGTAGTGTGAAAATGAGGAGGAATTTAGGGAGATCAAGAAGACTCAGGGAGAGAAAGAGTGTTCCTCACGACTGACTACATTGGCCAGCAGTACTTCATCGACAAGCCATTGCCACTTGAACACCAACAGGTATGTGTTTTCCTTTTGAGGCTGAAGTTGAGCCACCAGGGATAACAACTGTTTAAAAAGACACCCCTACCCACCCGTTGAAAGAAGTGGAAGTTTTGTGGATATGATATGTTGAACATATTCTCAGACTGTTCGGTGTATTGATCAGTGTATTGATTTTGCTGGTATTTTTCCACTTCTTTTAACATAGTATTTGTTATGTAGGAGTTTCCTTCCTTCCTTTTTTTCCCCTCAATCCCTCCTCTCCCTCTGTCCATGTAGAGAATCATACCCTTATCTGCGGGTGCTCTGCCCAAAAGAATATAAATTTTGATCGCTGAAACCTAGCAAGATATTTACAGGCTAGATTTCTTTTTTATGGACCTTGTCTTAAACCTGAATCACTCTGGCTGTCATTGATTGGCAAACAGTAGGTCCCATCCCAAGCCTCACTTGGTTACTGTTTGGATTCTGGTGTCTCACAGAGAGAGTGTAGATAGCAGTTGTTTCTGTTTTGGCCAAAAAACCCTGAAGATCTTCCCTTTCTAGATTGATTTCTCCCCCTCACCCATCCCAGTTAGGTAAAAGAGGCCATTCTTTGCCTCATTTTTCCTAGCTTTAATTACCGAATGGGTGTTGCTTCAGTTGGACTGAGACCTGGGAAAGGCCAAGGCCTCCCACTACATCGAGGGCCACCTCCAGTCATCCTAATCTGGATCTTGCCACTGCATCCAAATGGCTCCAGAGGAGAGGGTGAGGTTGATGACTTTACACAGCCCTCCCTCACTTCAGTCCAACTCACTTGCAAGTCATGACATCACCTTCCCGATGGTCCTCTTTGAGAACGAAGGACAAATAACAACCTGTTATGTGGGATGACTCTCAGAGAGAGAGAGAATGGAAAGTGATACTGGGAGAACTTTTGGTGATGTGAAAAAAAACTCAAGATAGCAGTTTTTAAAAATGTTAATGTAAAGTTAAATTTTAAAAAACTGTCGAAAAACTGTATGTCATATCATGGCCAGGCCAGGTTCTTAATGGATAGACTCAGGTTGGAATTCTAAATCTACCTGGAGTTGAATCACAGAGTTGTAGTTAGGTGAGGGATGCTATTTGTCTAGAGTGACAGTGTACCATACTAGTGCATGGCTGCTCTCTCTGTGATGAAGGGATAATTATTTTGACCAAATGGAATTAGTTTGGGACATACAATTTTGTGTCATTCATAAAGCTTCAGATCTCCCCACCCCCTCAGCTCTAATATGCCAGTAATTAATTTTTTTAACCATTTTAACCATTTAAATAATTGTGATTACATAACATACACACCATATAGCAATTACTCCCAAAACTTAGGTAAAGGAGGATCATATATGACCCAATGGGATAGTAATGTCTTCTGTATGTGAAGATGGAGGCCAGGAAGGGAATTATAGTAGCAGAGTGAGAAACAGTTGTTTGCCTTTCTCATTTTTATTTTAGAGCATTTGGAAATGGCCTCAAGGTTCCAGTTATAGAATGGAGAGAAGACCTGGAAGATGTAAAGGAAAGAACATTAGCTTAGAGTTAAAGTTTAGATTAAGAAAGTCTTTTGATTAATCGAAGCACATGGAGAGAGGGTAGATCAAAGGAGTTTGTCAAGAATGTTGACTTAATGAATTTGGGCTGGGAGGGTAAAAGTAGAGCACCTGGGTAAGTTCAGAACAATCAAACCCCAACTATTCATTGAACTCTTGTCTGAGACACACTGGAAGGATAGGATGCATGGAAACAGGATAAAGGGTAGCTAGGTGGCAGAGTGGATAGAGGCAGGGCTTGGAGTCAGGAAGACTCATCTTCCTAAGTTGAGATTTGGTCTTAGACACTTAACTGGCTGTGTGACTTTGGGCACTTAACCTGTTTTCCTCAATTTCCTCATCTGTAAAATGAAGGAAATGCAAACCACTCTGTATCTTTGCCAAGGTCATGAAGAGTCAGATACAAGTGAAAATAACTGAATGATAAGCAGGATAAGTGGCAGCAGAGGGATGCCAAAGTACACAGGAATCGGGAAGAATTAAGTTTAAATCTGGCCTCAGACACTTAACTAGCTGTGTGACCCTGGGCAAGTCCCTTAACCTCTGTCTGCCTCATTTCCCTCATCTGTAAAATGGGGGTAAATAGTGGCACCCACCTCTCAGGGTTGTTGTAAGGATAAAGTGAGATGATATTGTGTAAAGCACTTTGCAGACCTTTAAAGAGCTATATCAGTGTTAGCTGCAGAGCTATAGATAGGCCCTAATGCCACAACACACACGCCCATATGCATCAACAGTGTGAATACCAGCTGAGTGACCTGTGATCAGAGCCATATTTTGTCTCGTTGGCTTTATCTGAGGCTAATGTTTTCTGGGATCCTCCTAGTTGTTTTCAGAAAAGAGTGTTGAGAAGGGGGAGATATCAGGGTATAAAAAAATGGGCAGTGGAGTCAGAGGACCTGGGTTCTAATCCTATCTCAGTCACTTACTACCTGTGTAACTTTTAACTTTCCTGGGCCTCATTTTCCTCAACTATAAAATGAGAGAGGTTATGCTAGCTCTACTTCAGAGATCCCTTCCAGCTCTAGATCTATGAGCCTGTGAAATCAGGATTAGTTACTGCATTGAAAGGCATAGAAATATATGATCCCCAGAGTGACCTAGGGTACAGGGAAGGTATGAGTTCCTGAAATAGATAGCACATAATGAGTTTGAAGTTCTTGCCTACAGATAATGAAGTCCTTTGGGACCTTTAGTAATACTCGCTTCTTTCCTTGGATGGGGTCTAGGGTAGACTTGTATTATACTACATTGCATCCTACTGAGACTAGTATTCTAGGGGTGTCCCAGATTATGTACAGCAGATATGATAGAAGTTCTTGCCCACTTAGAAATACCAAAACTTGGGAAAATTTTTTGTGCTAGTATTAAAGGACTCTTCGGTCTCCCTGACTGTGTGTAGGAGAATTTTTTTAAGGGAGATTAATGTTCACCACAACACATAAAAATGTAAACTGAAAGGTTAGAAAAAGATGGAAAGCAGTCTTAAAACTTGAAGAGGAAATTGGAGAGGGAGGGAGGGTGGGGGAAGCACACACACATTGCCATAAAGCTTTTTTCAGGAACAAGATTGAAATTTCTAGATAGGGCTGAGAACTGGGCACACTAGACTTGCCCTCGTATTAGCATATATTTAGCTCATGACGTCCCAGGTGAATGCTTCTTGGACCCTGTTTCCCTGAGTATAACTGAAAAGGAAATTGCAATAATGGCTATTTTTTGAAAGTGGTTATCATCAGGGAAATCCTTTTTCAAGACTGTAGATATAGAAGCTAGCTTAGCTTAAGTACTTCCATTTTGAAAACTGTCCTTCATTAGGCTTTATACTGCCTCGGTGGTTGACATTTATATAGCACTTTAAGCTTTGCAAAGCATTTTACATATATCAACTCATTTGATCTTCACGATAACTCTGAGAGGTGGGTGCTGTTATTATCCCTATTTTACATGTGAGGAAATTGAGGCAGACAGGTTAAGCAGTTTTCCCAGGGCCAAATAGCTAGTGTCTGAGGCTAGATTTGAACTGAAGTCTTCCTAACTTAAAGTCCAGCATTCTATCTAATGTGCCACCTAGCTCCCTCAACCTAAGTAACCTAGTGGCCATTAAGTGAAACATGCTCTTCTCTCCCCCTTAGTTCATCAGTTGCAAGATGACCCAGTTTTGGTACCCCTAGAAAATCTGAACCACAGTTGTAATTCTGTTACTTATTGTCCCCACATAGGATATTTCTGTTCCCCTTTTTTGCTCATATGTAACACAGGATGCTTTGAGCAGCTTTCCAGAAACTATTGCCCAAAATCAATTTATCTACTAATTTTTTATCAATCTCATCTGCCAACCAGGGAAGGAGTCTTTATTCCACAACAGCATGTACAAAGTAAACCCTACCCTCTTACTCTACTTCAAAGCACATTTCCAAATGTCCTTGAAACTGCAGAACTAGTTTAAGCCAGCTCTCTAAATATGAAAAGTATCTCCACCTTCCCTACACTGCCTCCCTCTTCCCCAGTTGCTTCATTTAGGAGAGAAATATGTATTCCTGAGAATGGTAAATGAGTAGGCTAGTAGGTAACCCTGGACTTTCAGACTGGGATTTTCCATTATAGTTTGTAGAATGCCATAGAACCTGTGTTCATAGTTCATGATGTATTTAGACTCTACTTTCCCAGATACGGCTTCAGAATAAAATGCACTCTTTCTTAAGGGTCCCTCTGGGATTATGGTAACTATTATTGCTAACTAATTCTGAGACTAAGCCACCTGTAGAAATATCAACCTACTTATTCCACAGCTAGGAGTCCTAGCCTAGAAATCTAAGAGTACCTACTCTCCTCTTGTCCTGACCATCGCTAACAGCAGACATTTCTCCTTTTTCCTTCATCCAAGCAGCTGGCATTAGGGAGGCAACTGTAAGGAAGATGTTGCTTCCAACATTAAGGAAGTTGGTTTGAAACTTGAAAGTAGTCTGTTCAGGGTTCCAAGGATATTTTAGAAATTTGCTCTAAAACTGAAGTTGTGAGCCAGATTTTCTTGTTGTGACCTACGCTTGCTTAGGATAACCACTTTTTTGAGGCAGTCATTCCTAATTACCTGGAAATTCTCCATACTATTCCTAGAATTTCCTTACTGTATAATCTGTTTGTCCCATCAACCCAGCTATATCTCTAACACGTGTATTGCTGCCTGTGATTTATGTACTAACTTCCAAAATTCTGAGATCTGTTATAAAATATTTATACAATAGAACTTTCTTTTCATCTTTAACAGAAATGTTATAAGAACAAATGGCAAAGTAGACAGGAAGATACTTTGAGTTCTAAAGCGACAGTTCTTTATAAATCTGAGGTACTATTATTATTCCTGTTAATTTTTATTAGTATGATAAAGCACACTTTATGAGGCAGTGAGCAAGAGTATATCTTTTGTCCTTAGAGTAAGCTCTGCACAAATGAACAGAGTGGTTTTATAGGCAGAGTAAAGAGCTAGAAGACAGAAGTTCTAGCTTTTAGTCACGTCTGTCCCTTTACTGGATTCTGATTCAATGGATGCCCAGATAAGCCATAGACAAAATGACTGAGAGTGGTAGCTTTTATGCCTCACAGAGTATTTTGGAACTTAATTTGCCTCATTTTTAAATGAGAGTTTTATTTGTCATAATTTTTGGTAAAACTTATTTTTGAAATTACCCTGGAATAAGATGTTTTAATATCAGGATTACTATTACTTGCATACTACTCATCTTTTGTGGGTATAAAAGGATAAATATTTATAAACTATTTTGAAGTCTTCAGGTGAAAAGTGCCCAATAAGTATTATCACTGTTATTATTATCATTATTAGAGATAGACTTTTAGGCTAACTCCAGGTTTGCCATTTATCCTCCGTGGCAGAGGAAACCATGATCTAAATTTGCAAATGAACTTTTGGTCCTAATACCATAAAATCGTTTCCAGGAATAATAATTCCTACTAAACTTCTCCCTGCCAGCAGGTCTTAAATTGGAGGTTTTGGTAATATATAAAACATTTACCTTCTTCAGTGCCGGCTTTGTGACATTCCATTACTGTAATTTCCTTTTCCAGCTTGGCAATACCAATAAATAAAAATGAGAAAATGCTTCGGTCACCCATTTCACCCCTCTCAGATGTGTCAAAACACAAATACTCCAATGATGATTTAACTTCTTCCAGTAGACCTAATGGCAGCAGTCTGTTCACTTCCATCTCCTCCAGCAAAAAACATAAGACGGAGAATCAGTTGCAGCCCCATGCTGGAGACCTTGCTGTAAGTTTTTATGTTGTCATTTCCTAATTAAAACATTCACATGCAAACCTGGAATTTCTCCCTCTCCCACACACCTTCCCACCCCTCCCCAACCCTATCCCTATTGCCAACAAAGCATTAAAATGCTGACTTGCTGCTTTACAAGAGATCCGGAGTAAAAGAGTTACCTCTCATCCCTCCCATTTGGGGGTCTTGAAGGGCTCAAGAAGATGAAAAAATAAAAACTATTTGCAAGCCTCTTTTGCTCTTTAAAAATAATTTCCCACAGCTTTTAGTTTCAATTCTCAAAAGAAAACAACTAAAAATAATACATCCATTGGTGACAATGTAAAATAGCAGTTGGAAACAAGTCTTTGCTCAGAAAGTTCCCCGGGGTGGGATCACATAGGGCAGTAGGTGTCTCAGAAACCTGCCCTTGAGGTCTGCCAGTGCCTTCTTATCTACTCTCTTATTGATCAGTGTAGAGCACAGAATGGCAGCACTGCCACAGCACCCTTTTATTTTATGGAGAGAGCCCCACTGGTGAATGGAATCCCTCCAGTGAGAAGAGAAATTTGACAGTAGATGGTTCTTCTCTGTGATGCCTAACAATAGTATAACTTCCGGACACAGTCCTCCTGACAAAGTTTTCCCAGCCATATTTCTTTTCAGTCATCATTGCTGCTCTTGAAAATTAGCAGGAGTTCCACATGTGACAGAAATGTGGTAGCCCTTTATAAGGGGCTTAATAATAATGAAGGGATGAGAAAAAGGAAAAAAAAGCAGTGGCCTAATAAATATATATTACTTTAACCTATTAACTGATGATAAATAAAACCGTCCAGGAACCTAAAACTTATTGCCATTGTCAGGAAACTTGGCCTTGCAATTTTCATTTAGTAGCTATCCTGGCTAAACCTGAATCTCAATCCAAGTTCTCTAGAAAAAACAACTTGGGAGGGAAATGAAATAAGAAGCTGCCAAAATAAATCTCAAGGGGGAAAAACACCTCACCATCTCATAGGACCTTTGTGTAGCCATAAAATCACAAAAAAAAAAAATTGGGGGAGTTTTTAGGTAAAGTAAATGATTATTACATCATCCACAGAGATAATTTTGTCTCCCCTTTGCCTATCCTTAATTACTTAAATCATTTTTCTTCCCTTATTGTTATAGGTAACATTTATGACATTTTGTGAAATAATAGGAGGAATTTTGAACATCTTTTTTTATTCCTGACAGATTTTCTTCAGTACAAACAATTGTAGCTTTTAGTTTTAGAGAAATGTTTTTTATATTAAGTAAAGGTTAGAATTGTAGTATTATAGATTTAAATATTAGGAATAATTTTTAATCAGTGCACTTTTAAGGATCTTTAATATAAATGAATAAATTACTTGATTTTTTTTTTTTTAGGCATTTGGGGTTAAGTGACTTGCCCAGGGTCACACAGCTAGTAAGTGTCAAGTGTCTGGTCTGAGACCATATTTGAGCTCAGGTTCTCCTGACTCCAGGGCCGGTGCTGTATCTACTGCGCCACCTAGCTGCTCCCCCCACTTGATTTTTTAAAAAAGAATTTTCAGTTTTACAAATTGTAGAGTCAGATTTTCTGGGTTCCATTCCTTCCTGTGCCCAGTAGAATTTAACCTTCCCATTTTTCATATGAAATAGGTACATGTTTGAAGATATAATTCTGTATCTATAAACCCTACAAAATTATTTTAATTGTTTCAAAGGAAACCATTTGAATTCCAAAATGGAAGATAGTTATGTTATAATCTGCTCTCCCCAGTGAAGGTACTTAATTTCTTTCTTCTTTTTTCCTTCCACAAAGCAGCAATGCCCCATTTTTTTTATTCTCAAAACAAAACAAAACAAACTACCAACACTGTAGTGATTATCTTTGGGTTTTTTCTGCATATCGCCTTGAAATTCCAATCTTCCAAAAACAGTTTATGGAAACTGGTGTTTGTGACCTGAAAGGACAATGTAGTCATAGCTATTCCTTGAAACAAAGAAAGAGCAAATTAAGTTATGATTTACAGTACAAAAAAATCTGTTCAAGTTTGTGTTAATTTTTCAGTTAAATAGCTGATTTCTTAAATATTTCTATATTGCTCATTATCTAGAAAACAGTGCACAACAGCTCAGAAAACATTCTCTTCTATAATAAACCACGACCCCAGACAGAACCATGGTCACCATTATCCAATGGGCACAGAGACTGCAGGAGACAAAAGCTCATCTTTGATGATATGTGAGTATGGGTTTTTTTGTTACTATTTTGAGGATGGATGGATACATAGATAAGCACTTATGTATGCCAGACACTGTACAAAGCATTGAGAATTTCAGTACAAGCAGACATGATAGTCCTTGTACTCAGTAGACTTAGATTCTGACAGGGAAAGACATCACATGAAAGGGAGCTGGAAATAAAGGAAATGTCTGAGACATCATACACACGCTGGCATGGAATGGAGGTAGCCAGAGAGGAACAAGATGAAACAAAAGTTCACCTATCAGAACTCCTAGAGTTTTAGGTTCCAGTGGAAAGATGAGGATGCTGTCCAGAATGCAGGTGATATGGTTTGGAACTTATGACTAGGATATGAGGTAGAGGTTTTTTGAGACAAAATTTAACTTATAGTCATTTTGCTTCAGAGCTGTAACTAACAATTTCACTGTTCAAAGCAAGCAATACAAAACATACCCATAGGTTAAGTTTGTAATTCATGATCTGAAAATAGTACAAGAAGTAATTAAGACAAATTTAGTTGAGCAGTAAGGGGAATTAATTACTACGGTGGCTTACAGATTGGTTTTATTAACATTTCCAGTGATCTGGTGGCTTTTGTATTTTAACTAATTATTCTTTCCATTTAGGTGCTAAATTCCTCAGTTAGTTCTAAAAGAGTTCACGTGTGTCAAATTTTTGCTTAAATTTCACTGCCCTGGAGCAAAGGCCCAATTGCCTCACTCTATGGCTCTAGTTTCCCCTAACTTATGGTGTGGTCAGGTTCTTACATGTGGCTTAGTGAGTTAAGTGCTTAAGCTTATAAAGTAAATTGAGTCCTGGATTCTAAATGCCTTTTTAAAGAACTTACTCTAGTAGAAGTATGTAGCTTCTTCATTTCAAATCATAGGTTTTTGAAGTTGATGTGCTATAACTACATAGAATCAGCTGAACTCTTGGAACAGTTGGGGCCGTTTTGCTCTAGAATATTTGGTCAGTATATGCACATATATTTACAATAGCAATGACAGATTTCTCAGCACCTGAATATTGGACTTGGGGTAGATTTATATTACTGTAGTTGTGTTTAATTTTCAAACTCTAGCCAGCAGAGAATAGGAGTGATTTGCTAATGGAAGCCCCATCCTCCTTCCCAATACTATACTTTACCTATAGTATAGATGGTATTTGAAGTGGAGGAAAAAAGAGGATTGGGGTGATTTGAGTAAAAATGCTCTTGCTATACTTGCCCCAACCAAAACTTACTCTGCCCACCTTCAGTCCTGTGTTAATCCATTTCTGCTATCCAGGAAAGAGAAAAAGACTAAAAGCAGGAGAGACTGAGTAAAAGTATCATTCTGAGATGCTTTTGAGCCACTTGAGAGGTGGCAAAAAAAAAAAGTTGCAGAATAACATTCTGTTGTTCCCTTCTTACACTCCCTTACCTCTACCGCAGATCTGAGTATAGAGATTGTCAGTGATTTTTAAGAGGTATATGAGTAGCAGACTTCACTTATTTAACTGAACTTTGGAAAAATTTAGGACCTAATGAAGGACAAGGGAAATTTTAGATTAAAAATCAATTTTTTTTTAAAAAATTGAATTAGTTTGAAATAGATTAGACTTGAGACAAAAAGGTAGCCCACAGCAGGGGGTTGGGGGTGGTATTGTTTTCTTCTCTCTGCTGATGCAGCAAACCCTATTGGATCTAATTTCCCTGTATTCTTCCAGGCAGCACACCAACTTCTCTTTTCTCCCTAATCACCTCCAAAGGCTCCCACTAAACAGTGAGAGGGGGTGTTAATGAAACCTTTGGGAAGCGTGATAGCATTCTGTGCTTTAAGGGTATAAGGAAGGAGAAGCTGGTTGGTCTCCAGTATTAAAGAAGGAAATTACCAATCTTATACACAAACTTTAAGCATTAGGGAGGAAAAAAGAATATAGGACAGAATTGTATTTAAGGACAGCATAGAAACTTATGTTAAGAATCTATGACTTTTCTTCCTCAGCCTCAAAATGCAATGTGGCCAAACAGAAGCTAGACTAGAAATCGTTTCAGTGTTTTGCTCCAAGTTTATCACTCCTGGAGATACTTCTTGTGTCTCTGTTTCTTCACCATGCTTTTTTGTTAGCTAATTATACTTGGTCAAGCACAGAGTTATCCACATGCTAAGGTGATTCAACTTAAAAAACTGCATGCGCATAAATTTGAGTGCTGGATGTAAAGAATGCATTAAGTATGTGCTGGAAACTAAAATGCAGAGATATGTCCAAAATGTGTATAAATGAAAACTGAGTCAGAAGCAGCAACAATAAAATAGTTTTGCCTCAACCTGCTGCTCTTGGACTACTTATAAGAAGAAATGTCTTCCTTCTGCTGTCCCTGGAACTAATACAACTTTGCCACTGTCTGTATCAACTAAGAGACTTTTATCACTTGTTCTTCCCATTAGCAATACATATGATTTCCCTGGCAGACTTCTACAATAAAACTGCTTCCTCTTTTATGGAGATAGAAACAATAAAAATTTCTAAAACCTCTTACGCATATAAGACATGGGTAGATTGCATGTTTCAATTGCCATGTGCCCCACAGTTATTTGAAATTCATAAAAATAAGATAAATATGCAACTCAGAAAAAAAAAAGGCAACTTCTCTACTGAATTGGGAAAGTCAGAAAATACCCAGCAAAATTTAAGAGCAAAAGTAAATGCTACCTTTTCTTTTTAGCTAATTAATGTTAATATATTAACTGTGTATACTTTAAAACTGATTTTGCTCCTGGATCTGTTGTATACACAAAGTATAAGAAATTAAAAGTAATTTAGGATTGGACTTCTGTAATTCTGTGCTTGAAAATAAAATTTCTTGACCAAGAATCAGGCATATTATCCAAGTTCTCCATTATTACACATGGCAATTGGGATTGTCTACCCTTTGTCCCCAAGCTCTCAACAGGTAAAGCAAAAGTTTGAATGAATGTTTTCAATCTCCTCTTCTTCAGCTTTTTACCCAGTTGACAGATTAGAATCTCATATCTGTTTCTTCCCTACTTTGACCTCCCTTTGACATAGGTGCTAATGAGCAGTGAATTGACCCAAGGGAGGTATCAGAAGAAGGGAAGAGAAGAAGCAAAAGGCTAGTTTAATTCAAAACTGGATAATTAGTATATGAAAATTGCAGGTTGTCTAAAATCCAATATGACAGCTTATAGTGAGCCAGTAGGTAACAGGACAATGTAAGTAATAGGTTTTATAGTGACATTTATTTTTTGATCTTCATTGGGCTGCCACTTTAAAAACAAAACTAGTTTTATTATAATATAATAGAAAAGTTAATTGATGAGAGATATAATCAAGGTCCCCTGAGAAATTTTTCTAGCATTTTTCCCCTTCTACTTCTATTGAATGTAAGGAACCAACGGTAGTACAAGCTTAAATTCTGAGCCTTTAAGACTAAGTTTCAAAAAAGCCCCTTTTTCTTTGTCAGTTACTAAATAAACATGTCTTTAATGTCCCAATTGGGCAATTTTTATACCTTCGTGATTCAGAAGTTGTACATGTGGCAGGCAGAACCAGATTGAGCAAACATTTTGGGGGGGGAAAAATGTTATCCAGGTCAGCTTGTTCTTCATAAATTGCAGACCCAGAGTGTCAGGCTGACTTGTGCTTTCTTCAGCACTTTGCATCTTCACCATTTGGCAGCCAGAGGTGTTGCTGGTGTGATAACAAACTTAGTTAGAATTCAGTAAAAAAAAGAAAAATTAACTAGTGGCAGCATTTGGTTCAAATTGATCCCCATTCACTGTTGGATCTCATTAATCCCCAAAAGCCACGAGCTATAATAAATCCAGGATTGTAATTATTGACAAGAGAATTATTGAGCTGAAGAGAGAAATACCACATGGCAGAGGCTTCAATACAGAAGTCCTGAACAGACCTAAGTGGCAAAATCACTTGGCTGGAAAATAAACCAGCAAGTTCCCGCCAGCCATATTGCCACTGTTGGGAAGACAGTGGTCCCCAAGTGCCAGGTCTGCCTGCTGCTACTCCTGAAGAATGTGCTGTCTCGTGCCCATATTTCACATTAGTCAATCATGAAAGCTGCATTCAGCCAAACCACCAAATATCCCGTCTGTTCAAGTCGAAGTGCTAACATGTAGTGAAGCTACCTAAAGTTCACAATTATAAGAGAAGGTTCCCCTCAAAAATAATTTCAAGAAGGCCTTGGCATGTCAAATGTAGGTGGGAAGAAGTAAGAGGGACCAGATATTTCAGATGTAACCATGGTCAGCAGTATGCTTATAATAGTGCTTTGATTTTATGGAAGTGGGAAAGATCTCTTTGCCCTTCAATGAATGGTTGAATGTCTCAGCATGAGTTGGCTACCAGACAGCATCTGAAATTCTTTCCTAAGCTGTATCTTCCTGAGGTTGCTGTGGTCATCTTTCACCCAAAGACACCTCCTTTCCTCAAAACATTTGGTGATTTCAAACAGTAGAATTATAGGATCATTGATTTTAGAGCTAGGAGGGACCTCAGAGATGATCGAAGCCAGGGTTTCTTAATCTTTGTGTGTGTCAAAAACCCTCTTGGCAGTCGACTTAAGCCTCTAGAATCCTTCTTAGAATAATCTTTTTAAATGCATATAATAAAATACATAGAGTTAGAAAGGAAACCAAGTGTACTGAAATAGAGTTATCAGAATGTTTTTAAAACAAGTCAGAGACCCCAAGTTAAGAATCCCTTATTTAGTCCAACCCCTTGCTTTTACAGATTTAAAAAAAAAACTGATGGCCATAAAGGTATGGTCCCTTGTTTGAAGTCATAGACCTATGACAAAGCCAAGATTTGACCTACAAATCTAGTGCTCTATTTACTGCTCATGCTTGAGTTTACCTTATTTTCTCACAAGCTGTTAGTAGGGCTTTATTAATCTAAATATAGAACTCATGCATATTTTGAGCTGTGAGACCCTTCTCTCCTCACCGAGTACATTTCATAGTCCCTTCTCTTTGAAC